TTCATATATAACATATAATATTCCAGGAACAGAGTGACTTGTCCACGTGTCTTCCATCAATATTTTCCCCCAAATCACTTACACATTCTATTACTTAAAATTTCTTTTCTGTTTCTTTTTTCTTATTCAATTTTAATTTACTTTCTTATTTGATTTTTGCATAAACTTATTTCTGCATTCTCTATTCTGGTTCTGACCCTGTTTCTATTCATTCACAAGATCACGTTTGTAGATATTTTCAAGCCTGCCATATAAATTTTGCTACCTATCTGTATGTGATTAAGCAAGCTTCTTCTTTATAAAAGTTGGCTGTCATCACAGCTATTCTTTAAAATATAACACAATTCATAACAAACTTTAACTCTCACCATTTTATGGACTCTAGGTTCATAATCTGTATGCCTTTCTAGCATAAGTTATCTTGATTGTAGCAAAAATATTATCTACTTTTTATATAGAAATATTAGAGATTAATAAGAAAATACCCTATGATATTTGAAAAGATACTACATGAACATTTATCATATTACTTTCTATTTTAAGAGTTATTTTCCATATTAAATTAAAAACTACCTATATTAAATTACAATATGTTAATTTACATAGACTAACAATTACAAATAATGCATTTAATTTTTATGCTGTATATTATATGTTCTTTTTATATCTGGTTTTGATTTTAGGTTTGCAATGATCATTTTAATTGTCACTGTGATGTTGGATATTCTCCTCCGACTTGTGAACCAGCACCATCATCACCAGGAGGAAGTATCGATGATGGATATTGGATTGCAACAGGTTAGTATGTGGATCACTGTGTTCCACCAGAACTTCTTGTCCTCATAGAAATGAGGACAGTCTGGCTGTCCTATGTGACTACTGAGCACCTTGTGTGCATATTTTCATGAAGGAACTGAAATTTTAATTTAATTTAATTTTATTAAATTTAAATGTAAATAGCCATTTGTGGCTGGTGGCTGCTATATTGGACAGTAAAGCTCTAGCCTATAGTGCCAGCTAAAATTTTGTTCACATTTTTAATTTTAATCTTTAAGTGAATATTTTAAAAATCCTTTTCTTAACAATAACGATGCTTCACAGTGTTTCTATTTATACAGCCGAGTTTTCTTTTTTTTTCCTTTTTGTCTTTTTTCGTGACCGGCAACGGATTGCAACCCTTAGTGTCGCGCCCGTACCGGACCGGGACCAGCAACGGGATTGCAACCCTCGGTGTTGCGCCCGCACCTCGCTCAGCCAGTGAGCGGCCAGTCTGTACATGGGATCCGAACCCTCGGCGGGAGCGCCACCACGCTCCCAAGCGGCGCACTATAGCAGTGCACCACCGGGCCGGCCCTACAGCTGAGTTTTCTACATAGGTACAGTTAAATTTAGAAAAGGTGATAATTTTATTATGTAGTCTGTATATTTCAAAGATGTTACCTATTGTGATGTGCTAGTTCACAATCAAGTTACATCTTTAAAGTTAACCATAATATTGAAAGGGAAAGATAATCAAATATTTCATATTCACATTGATCATATTTCACCAGTATACATGCACACATCTGTGTGCACGTGTGTTTAGTTCTGTGCAACTTTACATGTAACCACCACCACAATTAAGATAAAGTAACTGTCCTGGTCTTTCCCTGTTGGGAGACTGCTGACTACTGACTTAATCTCGTGGCTTGTTACTGGTCTGTTCAGGTTTTCTATTTCTTCTTGCTTCAGACTTGGTAGTTTTTATTTGTCCAGAAATTTATCCATTTCCTCTAGATTTTCAAATTTGTTGGCATATAGTTGTTCATAGTACTCTCTAATGATTCTTTGTATTTGTGTAGTATTGATGGTGGACAAGGTGTCTGTGGGACCCAATAGTTAGCCTCAACCCACCCCGTCCTCTTACCAGGTTCTTGACTCCACCACTGGAATGAATTCAAGAGCAGAGTCACAGTAGAAAGTGAGAAACAGGTTTAATATAATTAATAAGAGATAGAGATTTCACAGAGTGTGGCATAGCTCCTGGGACTGAGCAGGGCCTACATAAAGTTTAATGGGAAAGTAAGAAATACACACTTAAAGTTTAATACAGAGTGTAGGTGGCTCAGTATGGTGAGCAGCTGCTTGCTGAAAGTAAGTTTGATACAAAAAGAAAGAAATACACACTCCACAGGCAGAGCATGGGCTGGTGCTAGGAGAGTGAGCAACAGTCCCACCTTCTGCCAGGATTCAGCTTTTGTAGTTTTGCTATTTAATGAATATTCAGTTAAGTGGTGGTTCCCTGTTATGTAACATAGTCTTGCACATGCTCATTTGGTCTCTTCTTGGAGTATTTTCATTGGTTGCTCATTTGGTCTCTTCTTGGAGTATGTTCATTGGTCAAATCCCATCATCACATGCACGAGGCATATTCAGGACCATTCTGTGTTCTTTAGCACCCTTAGTGGAAGGACATTCAGCTACCAGAGTTATATAACCCTTCTCTACTGAGCATGCCCAGCCACAGGATTTTCATAACCCAGCACCCCAAGTTCTCAATTTCCTCCTGTTGGTGCTGAAAATAGGTCTAACTAGCAACAGTAGCTTTCCTGTAGGGGAGGGCCTAGAGGAGAGTCCTGAAACCTTGGGGAGTGGCTTGGAACCCAGAGATGTGTCCTGTAACCCAAACCCAGGGAAACTGAGCATCTCCTATCTTAGTAGTTGTAATGTTTCCTTTTTCTTTTAAAATTTTTGTTATTTGGATCTTCAATCTAATTTTCTTGGTCTAGCTAATAGTTTGTCAATTTTGTTTATCTTCTCAAAAATGAGCTTTTGTTTATTAATCTTTTGTATCATTATTTTGGTCTCTATTTCATTTAGTTCTGCTCTAATCTTTATTATTTGTTTCTGTCTATAGATGTTGGAATTGGATTGCTCTTGTTTTCCTAGTTCTTTGAAGCAAAACATTAGGCTGTTTATTTGACATCTTTCTATTCTTTTTGTGTGTGTGCCAGTTTTTCATTTTCCCATTTTAATTTTGACAGTTTTTTTATTCAAATAATATTGATCATACATATTTATGGGATACAGATTCAAATCTTAATACCTGTGTACAATATAGGGTGATCAAATCAGGATTGTTTCTTTGCCCCCACGGATTTGTCACCTCACTTCCCCTGGGTGACAGAGCCACAAAGGATTACTCAAAGCCCATCTCTTCTGAGCAGTGAGAAGCCCTGAAGTGGTTAATCTCCCCAGATCCCTCAAGCAAGAGGCATTCCTTCCTTGGGAAATTAACCCCAAATTGGGGTTCTCTTCCTGCATTTATTCTCCAGCCCAGGAAGTTACAGGAAGAGACATAGGAGGGGTTATAGTTTAACAATTTAGGCTGGTAACTCTCAGTGATCCACCAACAAAAGCTTGATCTTAGCAAACATTCCCTTCTTACAGCAATTTCTCAGTATCTTTACATATCAATCAGTAACTAGACTGTTCTTGAGCCAGCAACCTTGCTGTGCCACAAATCTTTATCTTACACCAGAGACTTTATAGCCCGAGGAAAATTTCCTGTCCTCCACAAGGTCAATATTTGAAACTGCAAGGCTTTGGAAAACCAGGCCCTGTGCAGTATATTTGCTTTATGAATCCTCTACATAGGATAATTAGTATACTCATATTTATAAAATGTGATGAATCTTTGTGACCCTTAACCAATTTCTTGCTAATCTCACTCACTCTCCCCTTTTCCCACCTCTCATAAACAGAGTTGTCATCCCTTTTTCTTTTGGAAGTTCAATTTATTATTGTGATTGTCATTTCTTTCATTCATTCCTTATTTATTTATACTTTAGCTCCGATTTATAAGTGAGGACATGTGGTATTTCTCTTTAAAAGAATGAAACTAGATCCATACCTCTCACCATATATGACAATCAACTCAAAATGGACTAAAGCTTAAATATAAGACCTGAAACTATAAAACTTCTAAAGGAAAACATAGGGAAAACACTTCAGGATAGAAGACTGGGCAAAGACTTTATGAATAAGACCCCAAAAGCACAAGAAGCAAAAGAAACAATAAACAAATGGGATTATATAAAATTAAAAAGCTTTTGCACAGCAAAAGAAACAATTAACAGAGCAAAAAGATAACCTACAGAGTGGGAGAAAATATGTGCAAACTACATATCTGATAAAGGATTAACATCCAAAATATACAAAGCACTCAAACAACTTAACAGCAAGAAAACAAATAACAGAATTAAAAAATGGGCAAAGGAGCTGAATAGGCATTTCTCAAAGGAAGATTTATAAATGGTCAACTTGTACATGAAAAAATGCTCAACATCACTAAGCATCAGGGAAATGCAAATCAAAATCAAATGAGACCTAATCTTGTCCCAGTTAGACTGGCTATTATAAAAAAGACAGAGAGTAACAAGTGCTGACAAGGATGCAGACAAAGAGAAACCCTCCTACACTGTTCATGGGACTGTAAACTGGTGCAGTAATTATGGAAAATGGTATGGAAGTCCCTCAAACAACTACAGATAGAACTGCCATATGATCCAGCTGTCCTATTTCTGGGTATACACCAAAATGATTGGAAGTCATCATGTCAAAGGGATACCTGTACTCCCATGTTGATCACAATTCTGTTTATAGTAGCTAAGAGTTGGAACCAACATGAATGTCCATTTAAATACAACTGGATAAGGAAAATGTGGTATATATACAGAATGGAATACTACTTGGCTATAAAAAAGAGTGAAATTCTGCTATTCACAGCAACATGGATGAACTTAGAGAAAATTATGTTAAGTGAAATAAGCCAGATACAAAAACTCTGAAGTCTTTATATTCTTTTGATGTAAGCACTTATTGCAATAAACTTCACTCTTACTAGTGCTTTTGTGGCATCTCATTAGGTTTTGGTATGATGTACTTTTATTTTCATTTGATTTAAGAATTTTTTTTGATTTCCTACTAATTTCTTCTTGGATTTATAGGTCATTCAGAAGCATGCTGTTTAATTTCCACAAATTTATGTAGTTTTCAATGTTTTGCTTATTATTGATTTCTACTTTTATTCCACTGTGGCCTGAAAAGGTGCTTGAAAGAATTTCAGTTTTTTGTTTTTTTTTTCCTTTTTGTCTTTTTTTCATGTCTGGCAACGGATCGCAACCCTCAGTGTCGCACCCGCACCGGACTGGGGACCGGCAACGGGATCACAACCCTCGGCGTTGCTCCCACACCTCGCTCAGCCAGTGAGCGGGAACCAGTCTGTATGTGGGATCCGAACCCTCAGTGGGAGCGCCACCGCACTCTCAAGCGGCACACTGTAGCAGTGCGCCACCGGGCCGGCCCAGAATTTCAGTTTTTAAAAGTTTGTCGAGACTTGAGTTGTGTCTTAACATATGGTCTATCCTGGACAATGTTCTATATGCTGATGAAAAGAATATATGTTCTGCAGTTGAAAGATGAAACATTCTGCAGATGTCTGTCAAGTCCAACTGGTCAAAAATGTAGTTTAAATCCAGTGTTTCTCGGCTGATTCATTGCCTAGATTATCCTTTCAATGATGAGAGAGGTGTGTTAAAGTTTCCAATTCTTATTATCTTGGGGTCTGTCTCTATATTTTGAGCCAGTAATATTTGCTTTATATACCAAGGTATTGTAATGCTGAGTCCATCTATATTTATAATTGTTATATTTTCTTGCCGAATTGATCCCTTCATCATTATATAATGACCATCTTTGTCTCTTTTATAGTTTTCACTTTGAAGTCTACTTCTGTTTGTTTTTGGTTTCCTTTTGCATGGTGTAGCTTTTTCCATCCCTTCAGCATTACTCTATGTGAGTCTTTACAAATCAAGTGAGTTTCTTGTAGATAGCACATAGTGGAGTCTAGTTTTTTAATCCATTTAGCCAGTCTGTGTCTTTTAAATGGGGAATTCAATCCATTTACATTCAGGGTTGTTTCTGAAAGGTAATGCCTTACTCCTGGAAATTAATTTTTTAATGGTTGTTTTATATATCTTTTGTTCCTTTATTTCCCTTTTATTGTTTGTCTGTGGTATTTTTGGTTTTTTGTAGTGATGAGATATAATGTAAAGCTAGGGCTGGGTCTGAAACTCACAGATCCCTCAAGCCCATTGTCCACACTGGGTCACAAACCATTCACATTCAGGTCTACAAGGTAGGTAGAAGGGAAAAGGTCCCTGGAGCTATAGGTGAAATAATAGTAGGCTTTATTTCTAGACACGAGCTCTGCCAACCAGCAGTTCAGAGCCGCTGCTCATACACTCTGAAGAAGGACACACTAGAATAGCAAGAAACAAAAGGATAGACAGGTGCGCATATGCACTAACTCCACCCACACACAACTTGTTTACAAAGAATGTGCTGCACCATCCCCAACTGGGCCTGAGGTGCTGGGGCCTGACTAAACTACTCTGTTTTCCTCACATATAGATTTTCTTTTTCTGTGTATATCTGCTCTACCAATAACTTTTATTCTTCCCCATGTATTATTTTTCTTGGATTCCAGATGTAGGACTTCCTTTCAGATTTCTTGAAGGGCCAATCTTATGGTGGTGAATTCTAGGACCAGAAGTCTTCACTGCTGAATTCTACCAAACTTTAAAGAAAGGAATTAATAATACTTCTTTTCAAACTATTCCAAAACATCAAAACAGAGGTCATTCTGCCAAACTCATTGTACAAGGCCAGTATCACCCTCATACCAAAACCAAAGATGCAACCAAAAAAATAAAACTACAGGCCACTATCTTTGATGAACATAGATATAAAGTTTCTCTTCAAATTACTAGCAAACAGAATTTTTACTGTGCATCAAAAGTATTAAACACCATGATCAAGTAGAATTCATCTCAGGAATGCAAGGATGGTTTAACACACACAAATCAATAAATGTGATAAACCATATCAACAAAATGAAGGTCAAAAACCATATGATCATCTCAAATAAATGCAGTAAAAACATTTGACAAAATTCAATATCTCTTCATGATAAAGTTTCTCAACAAAATAGGCATAGAAATAAAGTATTTCAACACAATAAATCCATACACAACAAACCCACAGCTAGTATTAACCTGAATAGAGTGAATGAATGGAAGCTTTCAGCTTTTTCTTTTAAAACAGGAACAAGACAAGTATGCACACTCTCAACACTCCTATTTAACATAGTATTAGAAGTACTGCCAGAGAACCAGGCAAGAGAAAGAAATGAAGGGCAATAAATAAATTGGAAATAAAGGGAACAAAATAAATTGAAAAAGATGAAGTCAAATTGTCCCTGTTTTCAGATGACATGATGTTATATAATACAGAAAAACATACACACTTAACAAAAAACTCTTAGAGCTGATAAATGAATTCATTAAAGTTTCAGGATACAAAATCAATATACAAAAATCAGTAGCACTTCTGTACACCAACAATGAACTAGCAGAAAAAGAAGTCAAGAAAGCAAGCCTATTTACAATAGCTACCAAAAAATAACCCCCAAAAAACCTAGGAATAAATTTAAATAGGAGGTAAAACAGCTCTACAACAAAAACTACAAACCACTTAAGAAAGAAATGAAAGAAGGCCGGCCCGGTGGCGCACTTGGTTGAGTGCAGCACTTGGGAGCGCGGCGGCGCTCCCGCTGAGGGTTTGGATCCCATATAGAGACCAGTCCACTCACTGTTTGAGTGTGGTGTGGGCGTGACACTGAGGGTTGAGATCCTGTTGCCGGTTGCGGTACGGGCATGACACCGAGGGTTGCGATCCCATTACCGGTCATGAAAAAAGACAAAAAGGAAAAAAAAGAAAAAGAAATGAAAGAGAATGAAAAAAAAATGGCAAGACATTCCATTTTCATGGATTGGAAGAATTAATGTTGTAAAAATTTCTGTACTTCCCAAAGTGATCTACAGATTCAGTATAATCCCCATCAAAATACCAAGGACATTCTTCACAGAAATAGAAAAAAACAAAACTAACATTCATATGGAACAAGAAAAGACTTCAAGTATCCAAGCAATACTGAGCAAAAATAAATAAATAAATAAAATAATGCCAGAGGCACTACTTTACCTGACTTCAAATTATACTACAAAACTATACAACCAAACCAGTATGGTACTTGTATAAAAACAGACACAGAACAGAATAGAGAACCTAGAAATCAACCCACATACTTATAGCCAACTGATCTTCAACAAAGGCTCCAAGAATATACATTGGAGAAAAGACAGCTTCTTCAATAAATGGTGCTGGATAAACTGGAGATCCATGTGTAAATAATGAAATTAGACCCCTATCTCTCACCATGTACCAAAACCACCTCAAAATGGGTTAAAGACTTACGGATAAGACCTGAAACTATAAAACACTTAGAAGGAAAACACAGGAGAAGTGCTTTAGGATATAGGGCTGGGGAAAGGCTTCATGAATAAGAACTCAAAAGCACAGGCAACAAAGGAAAACAATAAATAAATGGGACTCTATCAAGCTAAAAAGCTTCTGCATAGCAAAGGAAATAATCAACAGAGCAAAAAGGAAACCTACAGAATGGGAGAAAATATTTGCAAACAGTGCATTTGAACAGGGATTAATATTTAAAATATTAAAAGGAACTGAAACAACTTAATGATAAAAAAAATAATGCAATTAAAAAATGGGTGAAGGAGCTTAATAGACATTTCTCAAAAGAAGACATGCAAATGATTAACAGGTATGTGAAAAAATGCTCAACATCACTAATCATCGGAGAAATGCAAAGCAAAACCACATTCAAATATCATCTCACCCCACTTAGGCCGGCTATTATCAAAAATATAGAAAATAACAAATGCTGGGGAGGATATGAAGAAAGGGGAACCTTTATATCCTGTTGGCAGGATTGTAAATTAGTGCAACCCTTATGAAAAACCTTATGAAGGTTTCTCATACATCTACAGATAGAACTACCATATGATCTAGCAATCCCACTAGTGTATATATACTCAAAGGAATAAACATCATCATGTTGAGGGGATACCTGCCCTCCCATATTTATTGCAAAACTATTCACAATAGCCAAGATATAGAACCAACCTAAATGTTCATCAACGGATGACTAGATAAAGAAAATGTGGTATATATACACAGTGGAACAATATTCAGTCATAAAAAAAATGAAATTCTGCTATTCACAGCAATATGGATGAGCTTGGAGAAAATCATTCCAAGTGAAATAAGACAGGCACAGAAAGAGGAATATCACATGTCCTCACTCAAAAGTGGGAGCTAAAAAGTAAATAAATATGAAAAAGAAAAAAAGAAAGAACAATCATAATAATATGTTGAACTTGCAAAAGAAGAGATCTAGAGGTGGGAAAGGGGAGTTCTGGGGGGCTAGTGATAAATTGGTTAACAGACATGAATGATGATTTTTTTTTGTAATGACAAATATTCTAATTATCCTAATTTAACCATCACGTATTTTGCATGGGTATTGATATGCAACTCTGCACTGCATATTTTGCACGGTTATTGATATTCAACCCTGCACCGCACAAATTTATAATCAATTATGTTTCAATAAATAAAAAATAAAAGCATTGAGCTCTACCATAGCATAATATTAAGCACGTTTTCTTAATTTCAAGATTTTTGCACATACTTGCCATTTTCTCTCTTATAATACATAAAACATCTTGAGTTACTTTCTTTTACATAACATACTTCCATTAAACATACAATTGGATTGTCTGTGTGTGTGTTTTAAAGTTTTAAACTTTAAAACAAATTCCTTGTTTTTTAAATGTATTTACATTTAATATCAAAATAGTAATTTTAGTGATAATTCTGTTTGCTTAACTTACTATATTTGTTTTCTTAGTTGTCTGGTTAATTTCTTTTGTTTAATGGATCATGTTTCCATAGATTTTATTTTTCTTTCCAATTCTCTTACTAGTTGTATATGAGGGTACTTCAAAAAATTCATGGAAAAATAGAGTTGAACGATAATACAGATCATTCTATGAACGTTCTGAAGTGCACTTATATGTTTTCAGAACACCTAGAATAATATATACATTTCTAATTAATATTTATATAGTCAAAATTAGAAAAATATCCCTTTGTATAGATGATATGGAAATTTAAACTAGTTTACTATCATCAGTTTTTTAAAATTAAACATCATATATGTCAATAATTTTTCACAAAATCATTTTTAAAACTTAAAAAAAATTTGCTCTACTTTTCTTAAAGAGAATTCAGTAATAATATTAATTAAATGTGTTCTAAGTAATAGTTCACAGAAGGGAGTATAATAGGATAAATAGAATATATCACATAAGTAATGATTAAATATACATGAAGAGATGACAAATATACTTATGTCAATAATATTGTACATTGTCAGTGACTATACACTGTTGACAGAAATATATAATGCTCTTTGGGGCACAGTCACAGAAGACTGGAAAACACCTTTAGATTCAAATTTATTCATTCTTTGACTGTATCATTTAAATTCCAAATTTTTATAATTCCAATTACTAGCTTGATTTAAATGCCATTTTTGAAAAGGTTAAAAGGCACTCTCATATTTCAGACAGAAGTACACCCTTGCTTGTAAAACAAGCTACTTCTCCAAAAAATGGCCTTTTGATCAGTTTCTACGTTTTTCTACCTTTCCTAATTCTAACTGCCATCCTTGTTCTTAAATGGAATAAAATGAAGGGATTTTGGAACAGAGTGGGAACAGTAAGCAGCAAGTAAGTAAGCTTCTTTTTATATTTAATTTTTAAAATGTGCTATGAAAAAATTTCAAATGCATTTCAGAATATTAAAGTTGGGATTCTTGGATGAACTGGAAATATATAGAAATATTGAATAAGAAGGTACCAGCATATACCAAAGTTTTTCGTATTTCCAGCAATTAGGTATCCTTCACGTTTTTACAGCACCAGAAAAATGGAAGCTACTCAGCAAATCCTCTGCACCTTTAAAATAGAAAGCCACATTGGCTGTCATTGTTTTGGGACGTCTGTCAACTTCCCCAGCAACCCCACATCTCTTGCATTGACAGTCAGTTGTACCAAGTAGAATTTAATAATAGGATATGTAGAATTTAAGAAAAATAGGAGATGGACAGAATTAAGGAGAAAACACGATGAGGGAGATACTCTGCGTTTTGCACATAATAAATATTGCTCATGTGTTTCTAAAATTATAATTATTTCTCATGCATCACTTTGTCTTTACTCTAGCACCAATACAGGCCACAATCTGTACAGTGAATATTTAGGAATTTGAGAATACAGATGTAAAAATAAATACGTGAGTCTTGTTCTTCCATACTAAAGAAAATGGTTCTTTGTTTCTCACTTACTCTGAAGGACAAAAACTATTAATATAAAATTACTATCAAAACCGCTTTTTCTCAAGTTAGTTAATTATATTTACTAAGAAGTTAGCAGCAATGAGATAAATTCAGGTTAGTATTCTAGATGATTTATATAGACATCAAACTAATAATTGATTGATAGCTGGCATAAGTCTTCCTGTGCCCTTAAGACATCTTGGAAAAATCAGAATCGTTGCCAGAAGGAAATTTGACTTTTGGAAGACATTTTATAGTAGTGGATCCTTGGTTAAAAATGACAAACTCTGGTCATGTTTTACAGAGACAATAAGTGGTTTCAGGGCTTCAAGGGTAAGAAATAAAACAGAGCTGAAGCACAAAAGCGGGTGACGAACTGGATGGTCAGGGACTGGGTCATTCTCTCCGTCTGGTTCTATGACTGACAGTGACCCTTCTCTCATCCTTTCTCTCTAAACTGACACAGCCGATGCCTCTTACTTCATATTCTCTGGAGACAAAAGGAAGTAGCGGTGCAAAGGCGCCTAAATTCAGCCAGTATTCTATGTGGACTTGTGATCCTGGGTTAGGTGTTCAAACCTAAACTCATCCCCTGTGGCCAAAGAGCTGAAACCATGTAGTAGGAAATTGAACACCATGACCCTCCTCTTCAGCAGGAACTGTGTGTGTTTACGAGTATTCCAAAGACAAAGAGGAGGCTGTATAAATACATAAAATGTAATTAAGTGAACCTGGAAAACCTACAGGACTCAGGGCCTCATTAATGAAAGTGAATTTATAGTCCAGATAATTAGCTATTTACATATTTATATGCTAGATATAATTGAAGAGGTCATTTAAAATTGAGATGTTTCTCCAAATTATCTTTTTAACTTTGGAGAAGCATTATCATAGATATATTAATATCTCAACATGTCTTCTATGTAGACAAGATCGATTTTTAGTTTGAAATTTTTAAAAAGTGCCTCACATCTTTAGACCAAACTTAAATGACACAAAACACTAGAACATATGGTCTCTGAAAGGGATATGGAAAACGAAGTAGACATTGGTATATATTAATGGAATAATTATCACAAATCTAGCTTTTATACTTTTCTTTATTTTATCAAGATTACAGTGTTTCATAACCATAAATCGAATGCTATTTCGTTTATACAGATCGCCATTAGAAGACAACAGTAGTGACAGCGCCCAGTCGTACAGTTACAGGTGAACTGACGGAATCCAGTTATTGACAAGATGATACAGTTCATGATACAGTTTTTTCTTTTTAACAGTATTTCAGTATGAGAAAGCTATAATTTCCATATTTCATCATCATGACTCCTATTTGTCAATATCATATGCTAAAGCAAACACTAAGATAATTTATTTGATGTTAATTTTATTTTATATTAGTTTAGAAATCTTTAATGTTAACTAACGTTAGCCAGAGATTTATTAAGCAGCATTTTTGTAATATGAAATGACTTTAAAGAGATCGTAAGTATGTTCTTAAAGTATATATGAGCAATCATACTTGCTTCCTGCTCCCTCATCTGAGGTTTGTAGGATTTACACAGATTGTCTTCCCACATTTACATTTCTTTCTCACTAAGAATCCATGGTTATTGTTGTCCTTATTTTAGAAATGCGATAAGGAACATTAAGAAAGTAAATAATTCCCCAAGTGTATAGAATTATATTAAATTTTGGAGTTGGAGTTTAATTTTAGGCAATCAGACTCCAGAATGTAACAACAACAGCATTAGGAAAAAAAAAAAAAAAAAAAAGAGAATGCCACAATCATGTCACATATAGCCTGATATACAACTGGGGATGAGAAATAAAATTTACATTGATTAAGGACCTACTACATGCCAGACAAAATGCTCATGCACCCTTCTTCCAAGGCAGAAAGACAATTCTTTATCATAAGATAAGGTAAAATAGGCATCCATATATATTGTTTAAAGATTCACATGTGCAAAGAAATGATACTGGACATGTTAGGCCTATCACCAGGAGTAAATGGAATACTTCAAAACTTCAACCAAGACTGAGATCAGTAGTTCATTCTGTTATTTACCTGCCATTCCTCCATTTCTGACTCTGATTGACAGTGAAGTCAATAGGTCTCTGTTTCTCACCAAAAAAAAAAACATTTCTAACTCCTAAATTCAACATAAAATGACACAATTTCTGTGTCAACCAATATCTCCCTCCTCTTTGATAACTTTACTACAATCCCATGTCTTAGGTAAGGATTTGGTGCTTGGTACACTGTCTTCTTCTCATGTCCTTCAGTCACGATCTTACCATGATCACGCTGGGTGCCTTCACGAACTCCCCACCACCACCACCACCACCACCACCACCTAACTTTAGTAATTTGCTCCTCAAGCAATATTGAGCTTGCCATTTCCCAGCATTCTTGTAACTCATTAGACATAAACCAAATATCTTGCTTTATGTTCTTTTTCTTTTTCTCTTTTTTTTCACAGCTTTCTCCTGCCAAGGGTACTTTATGGTTACATAAAGTCTTTCCTCAAGAATTTGACAGAGTGGGTTAGGCTTTCAGTTCATTAATAATAAACATTATATAAGTTGATTGTACAGAGTTTTGTAAGGTGATTAATGATATGGAAAACACTAGAGCGGTAAGGATGAGTAGGAGAGCTGATATTGAGGGAGAAACGGGATGGCAATCTTAAATATGGTTGTTTCAGTAGACCCTACTGAGCGTGGGATATGTAAGCAAAGAATTGAAGAAGGTGCAAATATTTACCCAGGTTACTGTTTAACCAGAGTCACCTGACTTCACAGGGCCAACTCACATAAGGCTTTTATTTAAATGCCAAAGATAGAGTACAGCAAGAGAGATTGCAGGCAAGCATGTAGGGTCAGACAGACACAAGGCCTAAGGTTTCTTATTTTAAATTTGAAACAGCCCATCATAAGGGCTTATCCCATAAGGGCCATCACTGTCCTTATCTTGGCAAAAAGTCAAAACCAGATTCAGGATCTCCCAGAGATAAAGTAGAGCTTTTCCATTCCAGTTGTAAATCAACTTTCTTCCACACAGGCATTAGAGGTGGCAGAATTATTCATGCAAATACGTGGGCAATAGCTTTCTCAACATGTGAATGATCCAATGCAAAAATAAGTCAGTGAAGTTTGATGAATGACAGGGTTGTAAGCTTATGTGGGGCAGAGTTAACAGGAGGGCTGCCTCGTGATTAGGTCAGAGAAGTAAAAGTCGTGTAGGATCTTGGAGGCAGTCTCTCTTTTGCTCTGAGTGAAAGGGATGTGTCATTGGAGAGTTCAGATTGCACGCACATGAGTTACACTTTAAAAGCCTGGCAATGGTCTGTGTGTCAACAGGATTAGAAGTGGACATGCTACCGCAATAATCCAGGAAAGAGAGGATGCGATTGTAGACCGGGGTGGTAAGGATGGTCTCGTGGATAAATCTTGAAGGTGAACCAACAGAATGCACTGACAGTTTGGATGTAGAGTGTATAAAAAAAAGTGCTTGAATAACTTGTTTATTGATATAAAGCAGGAAGATACCAAGGCTACAATATAAACCCAGGCCTCTCTGTTTCCAAAGTTTGTGTTCTTAATACTTTTTTAAAATTTGCTTTTAAACTCATGAACCTCGAGAGATGAAATCTGCATAGGTAATGATGAGCCAGGACGTGTGTCATCAGGCCATGACAAGGAGTTTAAATGCTCTTCTCTGTGAATAAGGGCATAGTTAAAGTGTTTCTGAGGTGAATAAGAGGGATTTGGCATGATTTGGTTTGCATTAATGAATCTTTAAAAGCCTGGCAATGGTCTGTGTGTCAACAGGATTAGAAGTGGACATGCTACCGCAATAATCCAGGAAAGAGAGGATGCGATTGTAGACCGGGGTGGTAAGGATGGTCTCGTGGATAAATCTTGAAGGTGAACCAACAGAATGCACTGACAGTTTGGATGTAGAGTGTATAAAAAAAAGTGCTTGAATAACTTGTTTATTGATATAAAGCAGGAAGATACCAAGGCTACAATATAAAATCAGGCCTCTCTGTTTCCAAATTTTGTGTTCTTAATACTTTTTTAAAATTTGTTTTTAAACTCATGAACCTCGAGAGATGAAATCTGCATAGGTAATCATGAGCCAGGACAAGTGTCATCATGCCATGACAAGGAGTTTAAATGCTCTTCTCTGTGAATAAGGGCATAGTTAAAGTGTTTCTGAGGTGAATAAGAGGGATTTGGCATGATCTGGTTTGCATTAATGAATTTCTCTGGGATAAAGTAGGGGAAAATGGATTCTGTCAAAACTGGAGGCTAGTGAAGCAGCTAAGAGACTCCTGAATACACAGGAAAAGTGTGAAGAGGGTAGGACTGGACAGAGGAAAAGCACAAGTGGTTTTGAGAGGAACGACAGAGGTGGAATGGGGTGGAGTGCTGACGAGAACGTGGGGATTAAAATAAAAGAGTGAACTACAAAGATGTGGCTGTTATAAATTATTCATGAAAAAGATACTTGAATTTACAAATGTCCTGGATCAGTATAACTGATATCTTATTATATAGCTTGTATAAAAATATACTTGTAATAAAAATTAGACAACTTTTATTAACAATAAAACTTTAGCATTTTAATTTCTATTTTTTTTTACAGCAATAACTAAGAGATATTATAAAAAAGCCATAGGTTGGAGAAAGAATATTACCAAGAAACTCATCATTAACTTGCCTGATTGAAGAATGAAAGAAACCTGTTTTTCTCTCCTTTCATTATGGCTTAAAACTCTGAATTACACAAAGCAAAATAAACCCTATGACTCAAAGTATGCAAGCTTGTGTCCATTTATTCTTCTACCCTCTGGGATCCTTGAGTAGGAAATAAGCAGCTTGGCCTTTTTTTTTTTTTTTTTTTTTTAACTACAGAGGTTGTTACATTCCAAAATGAGAACATTGCATCGTTCACTTGTGAGGACGATGAAGACAGGCTGGTCAGGCTCCCTCACCTCATATCCAGCTGAACATGACTCAGCCTGTCAGATGTAAATACATTAACCACATGTGTGCCCAGGTGTTCCTTGGCTAGCTTACTCTAGTATGAAAGACAATGGCTCTGATCTGCTGGGGGGCTGAGCTTGCATCCAAATAAAGCTTGCCAACAGCTCCCAAGATCTTTTTCCAACCACCTAGCTCATGACCTGCATACGAGGGGTCTGTGACCCAGCCTGACAATTGGTGTAGTCAGAGGCAGGATTCTGAGCAGGGAAGGGAGCCATTAGCTCATCAGTAGGGAGAGGAAATGTGGCTGCCCTTGAGTATACTGTACCCACTGGCTGTTTTCCTGTTGACCGGGGGCTGGCTGTTGCTCACCATACTGTGAGCCAACAAGGACCAGGCACTTCATGAAGCATCACAGTTTCAAGAGTTGAAACGAAAGGCAGACATGTTGAAGTGCAGGTACACGCTCGGGAGGCTGAAGTACAGCCACAGATCACCCCTGCTTTTGACACTGGGGATGATGACAAACATGATGGTGAGTTGAGGGACTCTGTACATTTACTGACACAACCTGTTGTTCATCAGAAAATGAAGCACGAGCAGCCTATGGGACCAGGCGGCCACCTGGTAGGCAACCCACAAGTGACCCAGTTCACTGCTTATGTCCCATACACCCAGGCCAAGTAGGTTGATTGGGCAAAACAGTTTTGACAGAAATGGGGAGAACCCCTGGCTGCTCAGCTCCTATGGTTGTGGGACCTACGGGTGGACAGTGTGATGTGCTCTGGTGAGGAGATGAAAAGTTAGCCTCCATTACCATGCACCTGTCCCTGCAACAGTGGTTAGAGAATAGCCACAGATATGCACAAAGGCAGGGAGAACTCTCTTTACTGGAATGGGTCAATGCAGCTCTCCAAACTGGACGAATGCCAGCAAACTGCCCCAAACTGTGAGTAGATGGCAAAAATATGTAAAGCTGGTTCAAATAATTTGGGAGCTGGGGATGCCACAGTCCATGTTTAATGTGAATACCCATGGCCCGGATAATGAACATTTTATAGTCAGCATGAGAGACGTAGTGCTGCAAAATGCTCCATCAACGTCCTTTGGGTCACTGATGGCCATACTGGCCCCATACATTGGTCATCCTAAACATGAAGTAAAGACCATGATGGCCAATCTGAGTGAAGCAGAGGAGAGGAGAAAAGAAAAGGGGGTCCAAAAGGTGATGAAGACCAAGTCCCCAAGAAATGTTTGGGATATTATCCCGAAGGTACCAGGCAAGAACAGCCACATGCAGATGTGGTTTGACTTGTTCACAGCAAGGGTCAATAGGGAGAAAATCACCCAGCAACCAAATGCGGTCCTGTTCACCTGTGGCAACAATTGCACCCTGAACACCATTTCACCAAACCTCCAGAAGAAACAGATGGCAAGTTATGCCCAGTGAATTTAAAATATTTTTTGGCTACTTCTGCAGAGGTGGATGGACTGTTTCATTTCAGTTAAGGAGCAGGTCAAGGTGCTCGCCTTTTGGGGGTAGGCAAGGACTAGCTGCTTCATGTTGAACTGGCAGCATGTTGGTCAGAGACAAATGTGCAGCATGTATTGGCATTGGTGGATACTGGCACAGAATGTGGTCCTATACATGGTAATCTGGATAAGTTTCTGGGGGCCACGTGTAGATGGCAATGGAGGATGTACTATTAAAGTCAAAGTTGTGTCATTGCTGTTGGGCATAGGACAATTGCACCCTGCCCCCCCCATGTATATACTGTATACATATTTCCAGTAGCTGAATATGTCTTGAGTATAGATGTACTTTATGGTTTGCACCTGCAAACAACAGTTGGAGAATTTCAGCTGTGAATACGGATAGTAAATCCTGTGTAATTGTGATATGCTTGTACGTTTTTGTTGCTATAACAGAATACCTGGAACTGGGTGATTTACAAAGAAAAATATTTATTGCTAACAGTTTCTGAGGCTGGGAAGTCCAAAGTCCATGTGGTGGTGGCAACAGTGACCCAGGGGTCTCATATTGCAAGACGGTGGAAGCAGAGAAAGCAGAAAGAGAGAGAGTCTCTCCTCTTCTTTTAAAGCCCTCAGAACCATGTCCCTGACCACCATTTTTAATCCATTCACCACTGCATGACCCTATAACCTAATCACCTCTTCAAGGCTCCACCTTACAATTACCATTATAGGATTTCCCACCCTCTTTACAGTCACAGTGGGGACTAGGCTACATAAAATTTGGGGGACACAATTCAAGCTTCACTGAGCTTTGGGGGGCATAATTCAATCCACTACAATGCTTAAACGTAATCCACAGGTATTACCCAAGCCAAGACATGTAGTCAATGTGAAGCAGTATCATCTACCAGGAGGACTGGA